AAATATATGTAAGTTCTACAAATATACGAAAACAAAATTTAGTTTAGCGTGGTCTTAGACATCATGTTTGATGTCCGTTACGAGCCAATGCGAACCATCCTTCTATGTTCCTATCAAAAGCACACACACACACACACACACACACACACACACACACACACACACACACACACACACACACACACACACACACACACACACACACACACACACACACACACACACACACACACACACACACACACACACACACCTGAGTTTGTGCTTTTTTATGCCGATAATCTCGTACTTTTTGTTCCTCCAACACCTCACCCCATCTCCCATCTTCCTTCTCCCTCTCTTTTATGAACCCTCCCTCCACTTCCTTTTTTCCTCAAAGCGATTTCGCGGTCGACTCCGCAGACCCCTCACCCCTCAGTCAAGTTCAAAGTCCTCTCTTTGATAGGGAACGAGGGAAAGGTCGGTAGGGAAAATGGGGATAACTGGAACCGGTCTGGGGGAAAATGGGGACATCTGCTCCCTTGTTGTTTTCGAGACGTCCCTAATTTGGTGGAGATTTAGGGGAAACCACAAAATAGGAAACGGGTGATTGCTTATTTTATTTTTTTTGCTATCGTATAAATTGAGCATAAAAAAGAGATGTAATTTTAGAAGGATGATGAAACGTTAGCGAAAAATAGAGCGCTAAACGAATTGTGTTCGCTCTGCGTTGTTGCGAAAGTTTGTCGGTAGGAAATGGGGGTGAATGTTGACCTACGCTCGCTGCAAGTGCCCGAGAACGCAATCTGATGTGTTCTGTTTGCAAGTTCTTATATAACGTCTGACCTTTGTTGCATTTCGACGAGGTACAGACGTCATTGCAAGACCGTCCGCATGCACCCAACGCGACACATCATGTCGCGCACTTATTTTTGGATTTTGTACTGCGGCATCGGTGTTGAACGGAAACTTTCACCACTCGGGAATTGGCGATGCACATAAGCACGCTTCATCATACCTGTAGATTTTGTGTCAACCTTTCAGGTGTGAGGTGTAACCGGGAAGATTGATCATTTTGAGAGTTCTTACTGTGTTGCGCTCTTGTCGTTATACGTCTCGTACGGTGTCAATGCTTAATAAACACCTGACTGCTAGGAAACTGTTGCTTGTGGCAGCAAGGTCTGCGCTATGTGCACATAAATGTACACTTCAATTTCCGAGATGTACTTTGATATGCAGAAGTAGGTTTACGCTAGCGTTTCTAATCCTTCAAGTTTCGTTATTATAAAATTATTAGGAATGTTTAGTAAGGCCTTTACTGGTTAAATTCAATGCGGTACAATGAGTTCGCTCTGTATTTTGTTACCTGGCTGCTGAGAAATGAAGAAGATGCGCACACTATTGACTGTCGTAAAAGAACATTATATATGAGATAATGCTATTAATGCAAATGTGCAAGCGAGCTGGACAAAAATGACGATAATAATCCCTGGAGAAAGGGAAACAAGGTGATTATTATCGTCATTTCTCTCCAGCTCGCTTGCACATTTCCATTAACTGCATTATCATCACAACCTTAAAAATGCAGGCCGTTAATCCTTGTTGCTGTTAGACTGGTGGCAGCTGATAAAACCCGTTTAATCTACTGAAGTGTAACTCCTGCTTAGCTCAGTTGGTAGGGCGCTCCACTGAAAATGGAGAGGTCCCTGGTTCGATACCAGGACCAGGCGGATTTCTTTGGTCGCGCACCACTCACCTAACTGTGTTTGAAGATTTGTGTTTGTCCTTGTTCCTCTTCCCCAGGGATCAGTATCGTTATATACGAGAATTATTCAATCACCTTTGTTTTATGCACTCCATAGTAAAGTAGAAGGATGACCTCGTAAACCCGTGCTAGATTATATTCACTTGCAAGAAAAAAGAGACATCTAACAACGAAGATTGACGCATAACTTAGATAGAAGATTAAGATATTGTAAATACAACGTTCATCCCAAGGTGCGACTTTTACCTTATCACTAGATATGCCTTTTATCGAAGATTCTGAATTCTTCGTAGCTGTTGGCTTCTCAACATAGTAGCAGCCGCTGAGGGAAAGCTAGCTTTCCGGAAGAACTAAGCACTCCACGAAGATTTTTTTTTTTTTTTTATTGCCTATTTGGTGCACCAAAACACGTCTGTTCAAGTGAAGGTGCATATCTGAACGGTCGTTCTTCTGTTTAAAAGTTGTATTATATAGTTTTATTATTTAATAAAAACACCGTTCGTTTTTGAAACGATAGGATAAAACTGATATTGGATTGATCTGGTCAAGGCACTCAATATCCCATGCATCCTTACACTGATCAATTACGTTTGAAACAACCAACAAAAGGGAAGACTCTATACAGTCGCCATTCTTTTGTTTAACAATACACACGATGCCATTTTAGATAAAGAAAGTAGACGACGTTCCTAACGAACTTGTTGTGAAGTTCGTATTGGCGTCGTCAGATGGCGCCACCAACCAGGCGATTTGCTTTGCAGAGGGTTGCGGCTTTTGCTTGGGTACCGCAAACTATCCCCCTTTTTTGTCTTATTTTCGTGTGTAAAAGAGTGTAATCTTTTCACCCGTGCGGTCATGTTTCATTGCTCATACAGCACTGGCTAAATTGTTCACCTACAGCGTGTAACAAGTGCGTCAAAAACACAGAAAAACTAACCTCACGCTGTCAAAACATCTTCGATTTGTTTTTCTTGGCAATCTCATTTTTGTTTTATGAACATTATTCCACATCGGAACATTTCAAAACAACACAATAGTGCAAAGCAGAAAAAAAATGTATGGTGAAGTATGGGTCCAAAAATCGCTCTTCATTGATCAAGCACAGGTCGTTTTCGACATTTCATTTATTAAACTATGAGACGAAGATGCTTTCTATTTACTGCGTGTTTTAATTATTAGTTTCATTTTTTTTGTCGAGGTTAGTTGCAAGAGATTTACGACTACTACGCGCAAATCTACTTCTAAAGTACTTTCTCCTTCTGTGAGTATGCAACGCTCAAGTTTGCGCGTACAACATTTATTGCCTTTGGCCTTATTTGTTTCAAGTCCCAGAACAACAATTAAGGATTGACGTGCAACGTCTACAAAATACCGAAGCTTTATTAGTTAAAACATATTTCTCCATTTATTTAATGAAAGCGAATAGACGCCGTAGAGACAAGTCATGATATACGAACGGACCCTTCAGCGTTGTATCAAGGTGAATTCTTCCGCGCCATAATAGGCTGTTTAGTTATTGTGAACTTGTGAGTGTTCACAGTTCAGCGATATCCGTCAGCGCGCCTGCTATTTATGTGAGAATGAATACAGGAAAACGTAAGGGAGTTTCCTTCAAGCCAGCGAGGGCTTGAGGTACTGAACCGATTAATAGGTACATACTAATTAAGATCATTCGTTTCTCGGGTGGAACCCGATACTTGCCGATATTTACAGACCGAACACGTTTCTTGAAAACGGAAATTTCCGGAAATTTCTCCAGAAATTCTCCGAAAATATTTTGCAGGAAGCTAAGGGTTGGTAGGAGGAACACATGCGCTTGCTTTAGACCACGGAAACAAACATAGATTCTGTTGGCGTCAGTAAACTGCAGTTAAATATACAGACAAAGACCAAAAATGTCGCTTTTGTGTCTATTGTGAGGTACCTATTGCACTCTTATTTCCGTAAAAAAAAAAAAAAAAAGAAGAATGAGAATATATTTTTGAAACTTTTTTTCGAGAGGTGCAACATATACCTTGTTCCTGTCAAGCCGAAGTGATATTGCTGTGCGTTGCGAATGTACGCGGAAGCTACGGTGTCAAAAATCTCTCTCTAAACAAAAAAAAAAAAAAAAAAAAAAAAGGTTACATATTAATTCTTTTTATCGTTCATTTATATATTTGTAAATATAACCTGAAAACTCCGAATTCCAGAATAATTTGTTGAAAAGCCATGATTTCCCGCCGATTACCGTACCAAGTGCAATGGTGACAAGGTAGATGAAATAAATAAATAAATAAATAAATAAATAAATAACATGAAGCACAAGTACACATGACTCAATAATAATAATAATAATAATAATAATAATAATAATAATAGTTTGAATCCGAAACACAGTAGCACATAATCTGTCGAAAGACAACACTGACTGTATAGGACCACGTGTGACGTCACTGATCGCTCATTAGCCGTTTTCCTTAGCGCGCCGATAAATTCAGCGCAGCCTTTTCTGCCACAAATTGAACTGAAGATCCGGAACAGGGTGCCAAGTTTTTCATGACTCGCCGCGCTCGCCGGCGGCGGCGAGATCCCCAAAGTTCACATACCCCTCTCTCGACAAAAGGAAGTTCGAGAAGAGGAAACGGCGAGTTGTTGGGCCCATAAGTGATGCCCTCAACAACGACTACAAAATAAAATGAAAAGGAAAACAAAGAAAGAAGCAGCACAACGCCTGCGGTCATTCACATTGTGTTGTGTGAGAGAGAACCGCCTTGTTTTGATTTTTCCTTCTGCCAGACGGCCCAGGGGGGAAGCGAGCGGGAGTCGGCGGAGTGCCTATCTCGCGGTTTTTTGGCCTCTTCGAAATCGGCAACACGACTCCGAGCTCCCCCCTCCTCCTTTCGCCCGAGACCAGTTTTTCGTCGCGATAAAGGGCTTCTAGGCCACGAAGCACGCGCAAGTCAAGGTCAGGTGACGCGGCGACGGGCGGCTACACAAGATAGGCCTCTTCCAGCAGAGTTCTTTGACACTTGGGGCGATTCACCCCTACCGGCCGCGCGGTCAACGCACGCAGGCCTCCACACCGCTTCACCGACGCGGCGTAGCGACCGCTACGATCTCGCTAAACTTCGGAAGCCACGTCGGTAGGGCCCCGCGTATCGGGACTCGCGGGCTCGAACCGCAGAAAAACTAGCAAAAATCCACGAACGAGCCCATTTGTGTGTGTGTGTGTGTGTGCGTGTGCGTGTTGTTTGGAGCGGCTGGCGCCGGCGACGCCAGGCGCGCTGTTTTTTGCGCGGCTGTCATCTTCAAACATGGCGGGCGCGTCGGCGAGCACATGTGTATCGGCGGCGTGAAAACGGACGGATTTCATCGCTTCGGAAACGTGAGTGAGCCTCTGCCACGTTCGTCGGTGTGGCTTTAGTGTCTCCGCGAGCGCTGGGACAGATTGTCATGGCCTTTTACGACGCCGGAGCTTGTATCATGAGCCGCCGGTTCGCAGCATGCTCAGTGTGCGCGGAAAAAAAAATAAAAAAAATCGTTGGCTCTTTGTCAGGTTTTTGCCGGTCCCGCGTCGGTTACTGGCGTCGGCAGGCGATATGGCGTTTAATTTTTTTGCCATTCGGAATGTGGGCAGGCGTTTTTAATGCACGGTTATACCGCCGCTCTCGTTGTGTTGTCGACCACCCGTTTATGCGTTTCGGCACCGGCCCTTCGCCGCTTCTTTTTGTTGTCGACGGTTTGGCCGCGGCGTCCGACAACAAGCCTCTTCGTTGGCGGCGATTTCCTCTCCCCTTTTCTAACGTCACAACACGGATCTCCCAAACAACAGTCTCGCCGATCTGTGTTCGCGAGGAAACGGAGCGGTTGTTGACATTCCGAGCGCGGGGGTTTGCTCTAAAAAATCGTTGCGGCGGTTCCAGGCGTGGCGTCGCAGGCAACCCCGGGCCACCGCCCGAAACCGCCGGCGACCGAAGCTGCGCTGGCTGCGCCGTACGCGAACGCCGGCTACGCGCTTCTTGGCCAGATGTTTCGATTGCGGCCGACAAGCAACGCCACTATTCTACTGTTAGGACCGGCGGGGAGGTTCCAACTTCTAGTGCGAAAATCTCCCTGCAATAACCATTCGGCGTCTCGAGAGGCTCGAGCTTGTACTACGCGCAGCCGAAGCACGGCAGAACGCAACGAGCGTGTTTCTAGAGGCTGGACACTCGGAAGGAGCCGTCCTGCGGGCACGATGTCGTTTCGTGTTTGACGGACTGATCGCTTTGCTCCACGGTGTCGGCGCGTGCCGCGGGTCGCCGATCTCGGGTTCGTCGACATCGGTAAGCGTCGCGAGACGCAACTTTTTTTAGGCGGAGATAGCGCCGCGGATGGGTTACGAAGCACGATGTTTGGCCCCCGTGTCGTCGTGGTGTAGCGTTTCTGACTGATACGACGATGGTTTACGGTGTTTTTTTCGAGATACGACGATGTGGCCCCGCGCTAGCGTTGCCGAGGAGGCGCCGACGCGCTAGTAGGGTTCTCTGGTGTCTGTAGCTGTCATGGGAGACGTTGCATTCCGGCGTAGGGAACGCAACCTTGGAACGTGCGTTCACGGTCCTTGAAGCAAGCAACTCAAGCAACTGCTTAAAAAAAAAAAAAAAGTGCGAACAAATAAACAAGACACGCGGGAATTTTCTTGTTCTATCTTTCTTTCTTGCGTCTTTTGGGCTTCGGAGGTTGTTTTTCAGAAATCAACCTTCAACTCCACATGCGAACCTTGACGTCCGCGGGTGTCGGTGTTTTTGCTGTTGGGTTGAAGAGATAGAACGTTTACTTGCATCAGTTCAGCATGGCTGGCGCCTAAACTGGGGAAGTGCATGCTGTCGGCAGAGCAAGCATAACCTCTTATTTTCATTTTCAAGTAGTGTGTTTCGATGCAAGCATTTTTTTTTTTAAATGTGTTTCAGGCGTTGAAAAGATGCATTTTCTAGTGCATTGTTAATCTGTCTTGGTAAAGTGTGTGTGCACTTGATCCGCTCGGCAACGAAATGTTGGCTACCTTTATCCTTTATATCCGAAAGTGAATGATGCATGGAATGCAGTACTCGAGGACCAATCGTTTCAATCTGTTGAGAAGACATCAAACCGTCATTTCCAGAGCGAAGACCCTATACATTAATAAAATCTCTGCCTTACATTTAGCAAGCCGTTAAAAAGCTTTAGAAAATGGCATTGCTGCATTCATTGGCCTTTATACTAAATAAAAGCTGCCTGTAAAAGATCCCCCCTTTAGCTTGAGAAACATCTTATAGAGCTCTGTGCTTAGCAGTCTCGTACACAGTACTCGAGAAAACGTAAGTGATTTACAATTACTCTTGCTTGAAAAGCATTCAATTAGATTAATTGATTAGAAGAAAAGTAACTGGCCGTTACTTTTCTGATTACTTGAGGTTTAAAAAAAACGACAGTTTTTTCTGTTGGCTTGAAAATGGTTCTTTTGTGTGGTATATTATGGAATTAGGATCACCGAATTATAAACTAATTATCTTCTTAACCCACCAATTTCGGCAGAAACTTGGTTCGAGGATCCCTGAGTAGGAAACTTGTGAAAACAAAGGCTGCCGACGCCTTTGTTTAGTATTTCCAAATGTTCCCTTGCGATTACTTCTTAATAAATGTATTAAAATGATTCCAAAATTACTAAAAAAACAAGTAATCGATTACAAGTAATTTCATTACTTGTGATGAGTACTGTACAAGTTTGGTGCTTAGGCACGTGGACTTTGTTTCAGTCACTTGGGAGGGTAAACATGTTGAATCAGACCGTAGAGGTAACAAAAAAGGAGAGATAGAGTAGTTCATGTACTGCCTTTGTATTCTAACATTGAAGCGGGTTCGTCCCGTCTCAGTGCTCGGCCCGAAGCCTGGGATTTCGAGTTGGCCCGGGCAGGGCTCTAATCTACCCTATTTTTCGGTTGTAAAAAAGAAACAACTCTTTCATATTCGGATTGGTCTAAAAGCCAAGTGTCTGGTTTGAAGGGACGATCCACCGCCGGTTTGTGATTGCCGCAATCCCTTAGCACGCCGCATGTTCTGTGGCACAGCTCGGAATTCAGAAGCGGGACGCCGTACCCGTTTTCCTGAATTCTTTTGCTACCGAATCCTGTCTGAGCCTACTCTCTTACTAAGAGCGCACCTTCTCATTCCTTTCAGTCGTGCCTCAGCCCTTATTAGTAGAGTGTACCGACAGAATGAAGATGGCAGGGGAGGCCCTTCAGTTGTCCAGAGCGAGCTACCTACCTTCTACCACACTTTGGCGTCTGGTGAGCTCGGAGCACGCACGTGCGGCCAAAGCGCAGAGAAATGAACCGGGCACGTGCCGAAGGTCAGAAATTCTAAGGAGATGCTCCGCCCTGCCATTCCAGATCGCTGCTTGCCCAAAAGATGGCGGTTGCCAATGTTGCTCGACATGATTTCGAAAACGTGTACCAGCCTTCCCACCGAGTTCGATCAAGATGGGGTGTCACACGTGGCCGGCATGTTTTGTCATTGCACCGTGCTGGTGGTCGTTCTTATGTGTTCTTGCAGAGAAAAAACAAGTTCGGCAGTGCGAAACGCGTGATGTAGAAGGCACGCCGTGCTCAGCGGCGAAGCCACCTCAATGGCAGCAGTCGTGCCATCAATGCAAGCTGTGTGTGCCAGCGTCCATTCTAGCACGCACTGCTGTGACACGTGCCGGAGATCCCAGCTTAGATATTGTTGTACCACCCTGGCAACTATTTGAGGTCACACCGGTTTTCTGCCACACGCAACAGCTCGGCCTGTGCTTTTACGTGAAGTACATTGCCTAATGAAGTTTCAGAGCAAGTTCTGGTTAGTTGGAACGGCGCTGTCATCCCATGGACTGGATTCTAGTGCTGTTGCAGGAACAAGCAGGAGGTCATAGGAGGTCATTTATGAGAAGCATTTTCTCAAGAAAATTTGCAACTCCAAAGTTCATTACTGACAAAAAATACTTTATGTGGAAGGAACTCCAGGAGCTGTCCAGGGATCGGGGTGCAATGAGAGGCCTTTTTAAAAATGTAAGGCAGTTTGCACTTCAGTTGCATGTAAAGCCTCGTAGGTGTTAATTACAAGCAAATTAGAGACAATCGTTGTACATTTCTTTTGCCTTCGTATCTTTCTCTTTTCTGATGCAGTTGTCGTCCCTATTGTTAGGAAAATTTTTCCAACCAAGGACACTGGAGGGTACCTAAGTTAGGTGTCAGCTTCGAGCTTGAAATCTGCACTTCATGTTAACCCTAACAACAGCTTGGAATACCTGGTAAAATACCTGGTATAAGCTTGGAGGATGCAAAAGGCTGCTGATGCCACTACACATCTGCATCATTTTCACCACCTCTTGTGTCGCAATGATGTCACACTTCGCAACGACTGCTTCCTGCCAAAGTGCCTCATCATTTATGTCCAGAGTTGCTGCGAGCATGTGGCTCCTGCATGCAGTTTCTTTAAGTATAGGAGCTTAAAAGGGTACACAGTTTGTCTCGTCACCTTTTTATTCACCGGCAACACGAAAGGGCTGCTGGTTTTCATGCAAATCAAATTCTGACATCTGTTTCAGCAGAATGATCTGCTCAAACAGATGTCAGAATTTTCGGCTCCACAAAGACAGCCAGATCGGGTTGCTTTTGCCGACGAACCCAGTGCCATGAAACTTGTTGCCGAGGTGTCTCTAAATGGTGCATCTATCGTAATCAAATGTCGTGAGTGTATGTCGTAAGAAACAATGTAGGCCTAAAATTCCCCTTTTTCCTTATGCACAATGGTCAAAACTACCGTCCCTTCGACGCTGCTGCTTGCAGACGGCAAAACATAAAGCAGAAACACGAGAACGCTTTTTCGAGAGGAACGCTCGAAAGCAGATTGGCCTTCAAGCCAAAATCGTACCTCCTTGCACAATGTTTTCTGCCATCTCTCTTTCTGGGCCAACCTGTAATGCCGTTTCGTAACTGCCCGCGCTCCGCGAATTTGTCTGCCTCCCTGCTCTTTTGTCGGGGATCGTGGTCGAACATCTGTTGTCTTCGTTTCATAATCTCGGGTTAGGTTTCTCTTATGGGCGGATTTTCGTTGTCCGTTGGTTTGTGAGGCTGCATCTTTTTTCTTTCTTGTCTGCTTTCAGTTTTTTTTTTAGTACGGTGTTCTCTGCAGCTTTCTCTGGGTCACTGAATTCTTTTGTGACCCCAAGTGGGTTACGAAGGGCATGCAGGCCGATGCATATTTAGCCCTTGGTGGCGTCAGAAACGACCCTGGGCTGTCGAATGCGACAACATGCTGTTATGCGACCGTTGTCGTCGGAGCCATGGCGTAAGGACCGTTTTCTGCTTTTGGCCATCGGACTGC